GCAAACATTCTGCCTGATTCTCCTCAAAGATCTCTATAAGAGATTATGTACCCATCAAAATTTAAAGACCAGCTTAAACAATTATATTGGGTTGGCCAAAAAGTTCATTCTGGTTTTTCCGAAACATCTTACCGGAAAACCCGAACGAACGTTTTGGCCAACCAACCCAATGCTTAACGAGTAACTCTTCTCTCTCTCTCTCTCTATCTCTCGATCTCTCTCAATCTCCATCTCTCTCTCTCTCTCTCTCTCTCTCTCTCACACACACACACACACACACACACACACCACCCCTTCCAACACACACAAATCGATTTTTGGGTCTAAATAAACAGGCAGTAAATAACTATTTAGCCTAATGTTTTTAAGTTACTGTCCTCTGATACATTTTTGGATACGCTCAAGTTTTTCTACACAATTAGTAAAACTTTTTTTCATTTCAGTAGTAATGCAAAAAATGTTAATGTAAGCGCTTTCTGGGCTATTGGGATGTCTGCTTTATGTCTGAGGATGCAAGATGATTTTATTTGCCATAATGTTTATTGATCACACGGTCAACAGGTAACAGCACTTACTGTTTGGTGAGCTTAGCAGAAATGGACTTAAGAGATTAAAAAAAGCCTTTTTTTTTTGCGGTATGCGGGCCTCTCACTGTCGTGGCCTCTCCCACTGCAGAGCACAGGCTCTGGATGCGCAGGCTCAGCAGCCATGGCTCACGGGCCCAGCCGCTCCGCGGCATGTGGGATCTTCCCAGACCGGGGCACGAACCCATGTCCCCTGCATCGGCAGGTGGACTCTCAACCACTGCGCCACCAGGGAAGCCACCAAAAAGGCATTTTTAAGCCAGTAAAGGTAAAAGGTAAATTGCATTGCAGATGGCAGAAGGAATATATATTTTGCAATATTTTGAGAAAAGGAGAGTGTTGGGCTACACTCAGGGAATTGGATTAACTCAGAGAATGATGTGGAACCTGCCAAGCGAAAGACAGGAGCAGGGAGCAGGCAGTGAGATGTTCACAAGGGGAGGCATGACCCAGGTTCACTGATGCTGTCCATTGGAATGGCATTGGTTTCATAATTGTGTTGGCACTAAATGATATATTTATTTGATTTTATAGTTGTATAAGATCTGCAAAAAATGAGATTTCTATATAGGTTTATATTTTTACATGTTCATATTAAATATTAAAAATTTTTAATATAAAAAAATTAACTGAGGGCTTCCCTGGTGGCGCAGTGGTTGAGAGTCTGCCTGCCGATGCAGGGGACACGGCTTCATGCCCCGGTCCAGGAAGATCCCACATGCCGCGCAGCAGCTGGGCATGTGAGCCATGGCCGCTGAGCCTGCGCATCCGGACTCTGTGCTCTGCAACAGGAGGGGCCAAAACAGTGAGAGGCCCACGTACCACAAAAAAAAAAAAAAAAAAAAAACTTAACTGAGTCTCCTGAATTCTTTTATTTACACACAGAAAAATGGGTTTTCTTATCAAATCTTACCATTCCTCTGAAATCTTCTTATCTGCCTTTCCAACAGATTGGCAGAGCAGGGACATTTCAGACAATTGCTAAATCATGACCAAAGCTGGGACCCCTGGCCCACATTTGCTGGCAGAAAATACAGTCTTGCAATGTATTCTTAAATATATAGATTTTTATCCAACAATATAATTGCTTATGGCTCTCTGAACAAAGGTTTCATAATGTTTGGCTCCAGCATTACAGCAGTAAAGAAAATAAAAATTATCATACTGATTTAATGTATTCATTCATTCAACCATTATTTATTAAGTATACAGGACAGTGTAGTGGGTTCTGGCGATGCAGTGCTGAATTTTAAAGCAGCACCATGGCCTCTGCCTTCATGAAGCTTATGGTCTAGTGGAGAAAATCATTAGTAACCGCACAATCATGCAGCCAACAAAGTAATAATCACTATGGTATGAGTTCTGAAGTCACCTACAGCTGCGAGGACGTTGTACAGATAACCAAGACAGGTCATCAACCTGATATTCTATTGCCAAAAAGGGGCCTTTGCTCTGATCAGAAAGTTGACGTAGACTAGATTTCTGGCTGTCAACACAAAGAACACAACCTGAAAAGTCACACAAGTCATACTTTCCATAGTTGTTCTGAAGACCCACCAGTTGTCCAGGGACTTAGTTGACCTGATACTGCAAGTTGAACAAAAGTTTCCCATTGAGGAGGAAGAGGAAAGAGAAGGAGAATGAGAGAAAAGGGAGAAGGAAGGAAGGAAGGGAGAAAGAAAGACAGAAAGAGGCTTCCCTGGTGGCGCAGTGATTGGGAATCTGCCTGCCAATGCAGGGAACACGGGTTCAAGCCCTGGTCCGAGAAGATCCCACATGCCACAGAGCAACTAAGCCCTTGCGCCACAACTACTGAGCCTGCGTTCTAGAGCCTGTGAGCCACAACTACTGAGCCCACATGCCACAACTAGTGAAGCCCAAATGCCTAGAGCCCGCGCTTCGCAACAGGAGAAGCCACCACAATGAGAAGCCTGCACACCACAATGAAGAGTAGCCCCCACTCGCCACAACTAGAGAAAACCCACGTGCAGCAATGAAGACACAAAATGCAGCCAAAAAATAAATAAATAAATTTATTTAAAGGAAAGAAAGAGGGAGGGGGAGAGAGAGAGAAAGAAAGGAAGGAAGGAAGGGAGAAAGAAGGAGGGGGAGAGAGAGGGAGGGAGGGAGAAAGAAAAAGAAAGAAAGAGAGAAAGAGGGAAGGAAGGGAGGGAGGGAGAGAGAAAGAAAGAAAGAAGGAGAGGAAGGGAGGGAGGAAGGAAGAGAGAGAGAAAGCAAGAAAAGAAAGAAAGAAAGAAAGAAGGAAGGAAGGAAGGAAGGAAGGAAGGAAGAAGGAAAGAAGGAGGAGAAAACTGAGATGCAATGAACAGCATCTTCCACACCCACACTCTCCACTGGCTCCCATCTCATGAAGAGTGAAAGCCAGTATCCTTCCAGAGGCCACAGGCCTAAGTGAACTACTCCCCCAGCCCCCAGCCCCTCGCTCTCCAGCCACGCTGGTCTCCTGGCTATTCCTGGAAGCCACCAGGAGCCCACCCGACCCCAAGGCTTTCGGGGAGTGATCTTCCCCTGGATATCCGCTCCCCCCGCAAATCCCGACTGCAACAGCACAGGGGACCTCTGTCTTTAATGTTACCCCCATGTGGGCCAATGACGGCACGCCAATGCGCAGTTAATAACTGTTAAAATAGTTTTTGAAAATATGTTGAGTACTTACTAGGGGTCAGGCACTGTGCTAAATGCTGCACGTGAGTTATTTGTTTAATTGGTGCCGACACCCTGTCAAGGGTATTCTCACCCTACGCTGCAGAAGGGGAAACGGAGACTTAGAGAGATCAGGTAACTCGCCAGCGGTCACATAGGCGGCAAGGGGAACGACCAGGATTAGAGCGAGGATTCAAATCAGGAACATCTGTCCCCGAAGGTCAAGCTCTCAACCACTGTCTTATACGGCTCGCCCATTTAGGAAACGGAGCTCTACAAAACACCAAACGAATGCGGTGTGTGTGGATAGCACATCAGTGGGCCACCCAGTCCAAGAATGACTGCTAGGGGATCTAGCAAAACCTAGGGAACAGGTGCATTGCGTCACCTTTATCATGATAATAACAAGGAGGAGGAAGCCGACGAGAATGACAGTGAGAGGGCAAGGATTTCCATGGGAGGTACCGAGCATCATGCTTCAGACATACTCCTATAAATATTACTTCTTGGTTTTTATAAATATTGGTTAGCAGAGAGTTTGGGGTTTTACTCTGAGAACTACCTGAAGTGCAGATTATATATTACAAAGTACAGGCAGGTCCGTACCCCTTCACTCTGTCAGTTGGCTTGCGGGGAGGAGGTTTAGAGAATAAACTACAATGTGCACAGGCAGAAGGCCGTTCACTCTACAAGGAGGCAGCCCTAGAGGCAGCAGGAGACATGGTCTTCCCCAGAGGGCAGTGCTAGGTCTACTTCAGCCTGCAGACTAACGGACCCTTAAAGTCCAGTCGTAGGCCATGGACACGCGCAATAATTCTCACCAGGCAGGTGTCTTTAATGAATCTTACCAAACACTGTTTGTAGCCATTTTTTAAAATCTTAGTAAAGAGCCAGAAATGACTTGAAACATTTTAACTTTCAAGAAGTTTAAAGCAATTGAGCTATGCAGAGTCGTTAGCAACAAGCCTTGAAAACGACAGTTTAGGGACTTCCCTGGTGGCACAGTGGTTAAGACTCTGCGCTCCCAATGCAGGGGGCCTGGGTTCGATCCCTGGTCAGCGAACTAGATCCCACATGCATGCCACAACTAAGAGTTCGTGAGTTGCAACTAAGAAGGCTGCCTGCTGCAACTATGACCCAGCGCACCCAAAATAAATAAATTAATAAATTAATTAAATTTAAAATAAAATTAAAAAAAATAAAATGACAATTTAGATTTTCAAAGAAACTATCTTATGTTCTCTGGCAATAATTAGATGTCTATTAAGACAGCTCCTAGTTATTGATAATAAGACCATGTCATCAGCCTATGGGATAATGCTTCCTATTCCACTTTCCACAACTAAAAACATGTGTCATCTACGTTGAGAAAAATGTTAGACTAAAATATGAGAAGAAATCTCTAAAGGAAAGAGCGGTTGAAGTTGACCATTGCTAGACGTCAAGCCCTGTCGTAGGCATTAGTGATACAAAATGAATGACCGATTGCCACCCTGGATAAACCCCAAGCCTTGTGGAGAGAAGAGATCTAGAAGCAAATTGTTACAATATAGACCAGCGAGTACCAGGACCGAGAGAGGGGCAGATAGAGGGCAGGCGAATGACCTATTTGGCCTAAGGTGTCAAAAAAAGGTACCATTACACTAAATCTTAGAGAATAGTGGATTTTCCCAAGAGAAATAGATGGAGGGAACAAGTGAAATATTTAAAGAAAAAAGAACTGAGACATAGAACCTGCACAAATCTGATTACCTTCTCGTAGAAAGAAAATCCTTGGCAGGAAGTGGAGGGAGTCAAATCGAAAAGCAACATCATGGTTGACACCCACGCACGGTTGTCCTCAACTGCGGTTGGTGAAAATGTCTGAAAACTGAATATGGCATCCCGGTAACCTAAATAAATCAGAACAAAGGATTTGGAAAAAAAAAAAAAAAAGGAAAATGAAGGCTGAGCTCTTGCCTAAAGGGAATTATTTTGTTGTAAGAAAGAGAACTGCTAACTGATTGAAATCGGCATACCTTAAAAACTCGCTGCTGCCTAATTTAGAGGCTTCCTGTTTGGAGCCTTTACAAGACTGCATGTAGGCTAAATACTCTATCCATATGGATCAGATTCGCAAACAAAGAAAGAAGTGTTCTTCCCTGCATCACCATTTCCACAGGCTCTGTGATGCAGGGAACTTCTAACTACACCGTGGCAGCTTCTAAGGGAGGGAACATGATTACTCAATGCAGTGGTCATTCTGGACTGGGTCCGTCTGCTGTAGAGGGCATCACCGGAACAAGAAGTGAAACTTGTACGGTATCTGAGGGTTACGTGATAGTGACACACGATTGCCAATGTTCTGACTTTGAAGGCCGTCTAGAGCTTGTAGGAGAATGCCCTTGTCTGTAGGAAACACAAAGTACTCGGTGGTGATGGCACCTCACAACAGCAACTAACTCTCAAAATATTCTGAAAAAGCTAAGGGCCTTGTACTATAATTGCAACTTTTAGGTAAATTTGAGATGGTTTCAAAATAAAAAGAATTTTTAAGTTTAAAACTTTAAAAAGTAAAAGATTATCTGTTCTCAAATGAACAAAACTAACAAGGTAATGTGTTCCTTTGGGGTGGGGAGGGGAACCCTTAATACTGTTCCAACCCACTCTGCTTTCCCATAAGTCCTGTTTATAGCAGAGCATGGAGGGGAGAAAAGCATAGAAATACTGCCACCTACTGGTGTAGAGCAAATATATTTAGGGTAAAAGAAAAAAAATACTGAGGTTTCCTCTGGACAGGGGAAGAATAAAGCTTTTTATGGGGATTGACTTTTAAAGGCTGTTGGAGACCGAGGCAAACAGGCCCTTTAACCTTGAGGCCTGCATTAGAATTAAATCTGAGACTCAGAGCAGATGACAGATGGCTCTCTGGGTTTCAGATGTGTCCTGGGCGAATGGGGAGTTTAAGAGGAAGGGATACATTCAAGGGGTACAATAGACACACAAAATTTTTCACTCCCCATCCCAGCAAACTTGGAGAAGATGAATTCTCTAGGGAAAAGAAGAAATGGGGAAGCTTCCCTGGTGGCGCAGTGGTTGAGAGTCCGCCTGCCGATGCACGGGACACGGGTGTCCCGGTCCGGGAAGATCCCACATGCCGCGGAGCGGCTGGGCCCGTGAGCCATGGCCGCTGAGCCTGCGCGTCCAGAGCCTGTGCTCCGCAACGGGAGATTCTCACAGAAAGGCTTAACCAAATAAAAATAGGCTTTTAAGGAAAAAATTGCTTTGTAAGCAGTTTTATGTTTTGGTACTGGGGAGGAAATGAAAGGGTGTAATTAAAACATGTAGATGGAGAAGTAAATCAAAACATTGGTGGAATTGCTTTAACAGATCTGGATATTTCAGCTTTTTCCTAAATGAAGACACTTCCCCTGGCCCCGACTTAGAACGTACACATCAAGGTATTCTTTCAGAATATAATGCACTGTTGTGGAAAGCACACTAAAGCAGGTAGAGGACCCCAGAACAGGCCACTAGAGTCCCAGGTACGAATCTGTCCCTGAGTCTGTATCCCCTCTGCCTTCCCTGCAGGGTGGCTGAATCAGACAAGATAAAAATTGAGAAGCCGTGTAAAACAACTTCTATGATAGCTATACTTAACAGTGCTCACTTCATGCCAGACCCCGTAAACTCACAGAAACCTGTTATGGTCAGCTGAGAAGCTGAGGCACAGAGAGGTCAAACAGATTGCTCAGAATCCCAGAGCAGTAGAGAGACTGGCTGTTTCTTGTCCTTTCTGGGCACAGGAGCAGAGCTAAGCTCTCTTCCCAGCCTTCCTTGTGTTTAGGTGCACTGTGGTCACCAGTAAAACAGCAGACACACAGGCGCCACCTCCAGGCCTGGCCCATAAAACTTCATACACGTGACCCACATGCTGGTTTGCACTCCACAGGCTCAATGACGGTGACAAGAGCTCCTCAGACGGCACTTACTGGGACGGCAAAGCAGTAAAAGCTAAAGAGCCTGGACCCCCAAATCACCGCGAGTAGAAAGCTCCGGCGCTAACCAGAAACACGTATACACTTTACCTGATTGAAAAACAACCTATTGTATTTGAGCCATTATATATTTGGAGTTTGTTGTCAAAGCAGCAGTTACCCAAATGAATTCAAATACTAGGACCTTGAAGTGGGTACTATCCCAGCCAAAAAAAAAAAAAAAATTCAGGGCTTCCCTGGTGGCGCAGTGGTTGAGGGTCCGCCTGCCGATGCAGGGGACGCGGGTTTGTGCCCCGGTCCGGGAGGATCCCACGTGCAGCGGAGCAGCTGGGCCCGTGAGCCATGGCCACTGGGCCTGTGTGTCCAGAGCCTGTGCTCCGCAACGGGGGGGTGGGGGTGGTTGGGGGCGCGGCAGTGGGAGGCCCGCGTACCGAAAATAAATAAATAAATAAATTCAAACTATGTGGCATTGGCTTAGTGGCCAGTGGGAAAATTGGTATCGGGAGCTGAAAAGTTGGAAAGCCGTGTTTCCCAGTGGCAGATCATGCGGTAAACCTGCTTCCTGCTGTAACGTGAAAGGCACAGCCACTGCAGCTCTAGAATGTTCGAGAAGAACCAGACTGACCCTGTGTGTTGGCTTTTATCTCCCCCTTTAGCAAGATGTCATTCGTGCCTTCAGGAAAGAACTGGCCGGTCTGCAAGCAGAAATGAAAGGAAATACAGTTCAGAAATTTGGGTCCTGAAAGCCTGGGAAAGCTGACTACTTCTAAATCCCAAACAGTAAAAGATGTTAAGACTGAAAACGGCTTTGAGCAAATGCTCAAGTCTCAGCCCCAAAGCAAGGATGAAGGATGTGGGCTTCCCCCCGCCACCCCCGAGCTTATTGTTTTAACTACCTTTAGCTCAAGGTAGCTGCTCTTACGCTGACGGGGTAAGGAAGCAAGGATAAAAATTACTCACATCTACGTGGATGGACCTAGAGTCTGTCATAGAGTGAAGAAAGTCAAAGAGAAAAACAAATACCGTACGCTAACACATATATACGAAATCTAAAAAAAAAAGAAAAGAAAAAAAGTGGTCCTGAAGAACCTAGGGGCAGGACAGGAATAAAGACACAGACGTAGAGAATGGACTTAAGGACACGGGTAGGGGGAACGGTAAGCTGGGATGAAGTGAGAGTGGCATGGACTTATATATACACTACCAAATGTAAAATAGATAGCTAGTGGGAAGCAGCCGCATAGCACAGGGAGATCAGCTCGGTGCTCTGTGACCACCTAGAGGGGTGGGATAGGGAGGGTGGGAGGGAGACACAAGAGGGAGGAGATATGGGGATATATGTATATGTATAGCTGATTCACTTTGTTATAAAGCAGAAACTAACACACCACTGTAAAGCAATTATACTCCAATAAAGATGTTAGAAAAAAAATTACATCTAGTATATCTAGTAAAAAATTTTCATTGTGGATGTTTATTGTGGATATCGGCACGTAAAACTGGCCGCAAATGGGTTAGAAACCCACAAAGTTTTTAAGGCCAATGTATTGCCAAAGAAACGATGGAATCAGACTAAAAAAGTTTTTCGCTCTTTGAGTTTTTAAATAACCTTCAGACCTCTCAAACTTGTACTGGTAGAAATCAGGCCTTGAAAGCTATGCATTCTCCAAGTAGAGGAAACCGCCCATCACCTCCCCTAGATGAACCATGGAGACCCTCCAAATTAGAGCCTCCAGAAGGTGGAGCCACAGTCATGAGAACCATGCACTAAAGAATTCCTCCCAGAGACAGAATTCATATGCCTTCTGGGTTTTTAGAGTAAAATTTCAACTACCTATCAGTTATTATTCCTTTCCTACAGTAAAAATGATAAAGCATTGCAAGATTATAAATGTTTTTGACACACACACTTAATACAGACCTCCTTTGATGGTTAACAGATTCTTTTATTAATAATCAAAAAGCTTCACACTTACAATATGAAAATAAATGCTTCTTTAATGAATAATTAAATGAAAACTCTCCAGGACCTTAAAGGATTTTTAATATGTACCATGCGTACCTTAGAACACAGGGCATTAGCTTGCTGGGATCATTAGGGTATGACTGAAAAAGAGAGACAGTAATTTATAAAACAGTTACCGAACAGCTTTCCCAAACAGTAGTTCCCCTGAAATTAAAACAGGAAACAAAATTTGTATTTATACCTAGTTTTAGATATGACTGACAACACACATCAATCTTAATTTTATAATTTTGATGTTACTTTTTAAAGGCACTCCACAGAAATTCAAATCTCATTTTAGAATCATGAATCTGAAGTGTGTAATAAAGTTGTAACTTCTCAATATCAAAGTTTAATTATTACACAACAGTTCGAGCAACAGATACTATTTCACAGACAGTATTTGTTCTGCATCCTGTTCCCCTGCAGCACCAATCATGCTACGATTTTCGAAGCACGTCTATGACTACAGCAGGCACTGCTGATTCAGTCACAAAAATCCTTCCTGGGTGAACAGTACTTGCTCTTTCCAGAAGAAACGGTTGTTTTACCTTTTCTGTTTCTTTTCTATTATGAAAAACAGGGCTAAACAGAATCTTATAGAGTCTCATTTTCTGCTGGATGATTAAAATCTCTACTCTGTACGTTATCTTAGTCTCTTAAAATCCAAAAGTGCAGTGGAGGACAGCATGCTTTCCCTTGTTCTCACATGATACAATCAAAGCAAAAATAGAGCCCCATAGAAATTTCAACATTGAATTTCTTTTTAATCTTAAAGCTTAATGAGAGTCCAAAAGCTTTATATAAGTCAGTAGTCTCTGCATATCTTTGTTAGTTCATGATCTAGAAGACTACTTGTTTTCAAAAGCCCATCTTTCAAGAAGGTCCTATTTTCTCAATGGTCTGTTTACAGAGTTCACTGCCTTGTTTATAATATATAGGCATATATATATGTGTGTATAGGGTATATGTAAGCAGCGGTCACACGGCTCTCAGTTGTGCCCCATTAAAGCCATTTTACTGTGGTATAGAAAGGATGGCAATCATAGTCTCTGAAGTGTTTTCAATCCACAAGCACACACACATACACAGTTAACACTAGTCTCATCAACGCTGTCGACAATTCAGAAAGCCTAAATACTTTTCTAATTGAATTCTAAAAGAAAAGTGCCTTGAATTTAAATTTTTTTAAAAACTTCAGTCTTCAATATTGAAACTGCTAAGTCACTCCATTTTTCCATGAAAAAGAAATAGGATAATAAAGTTAGGGGGAAATTTTTTTAATGAAAAAATAAACTTGAGAAAACACCCTGTTACTAAAATAGGTTTAAGAAAAAAACCTACATAGAGGAAATATTCCAATAGAAGGTAAAACCTGTGCGGGGTATCAGAATAGCATTACCTGTAATCGTCAGATCAGAAACAAATGAAATCTTCAGTGACAGAACTGTAAAATATATTAGGAAATGTCCAGTTGATAAAAAAGGAGAGAAGATGATGAAGAACACGGAACACCTGACACTGTGAAGCCAAGTACAGAAAGGACCCTGCTGCACTGAACAGCTCCATTCGCAAAAACCCAACACGAATGGAACTTGACTGCCTTGTCACTATATTAGGGATACGGTTTTCCCTTTATTGGAAAAACCAATAAAACAATATAAAGCTTCTATAGCGATTGTACATTTTCTAGAAGAAACAAAAAACATCAAAATGGATGAAATAACTCAAAATCAAATCTTTGAAAACAAATGTTCCTCATAGAGGCATGCTCCTGACTGCATCCTGAAACCAATGTGTCTTTCATTACTTAGCAACGCAGGCCCTGACCCAGGTCTGGTTCTCTTGAGAGGGATGCTTCACGAGCAGGCCCAAAAGAAGAGGGGCAAGTGTCTGGCCGGCAGATTTGTGGCCCATCCCTATCACTGACTTTATTAACTAGGCCCTAATTTGTCCACTTTGAGCACTTAGACAACACACATTTCTATGTTTGAGGACAAAATTTCACAAAAGTCTTTTTCTGTCCGCAGAAAAATTCAGAGGCACTATTATTTCCTTCTCATAATAAAGCAATTCGCAATTAGCAATCAAGTTATATATATTTTTAATGACAAAATGGTTAGTGTTAACCCTGTAGAACCTGTGATCATAAGTAACTAAAGACCACTGGGTGATATCCACCCGAAGTAATACTGGACAGAGGATTACTTACAAAAAGAGCAATTTTCAATAGAAAACTGAATATTTCCCTTGGGAAATAAATTTAGTATTTTATTATTAAACAAATGGGGCAAAAGACCAGATTTTCTGTAACTGCAATAGAACAGGATTAGAAAGGCTTCCTTAGACACCCCAACAGTATAGGGATGAAACATCCTTCATGGTTTTATGATGAAAATTATAATCTCCTAACTATTATAGCTCTCTGAAGAAAATGTTCAATCAAAAGATTAAATTATACAAAGCATTTAACATTTTCAAACAGTTGCCTAATAACAAGCTTTTAAAAGAGATTATTCACAGCACTAAATTATGTTTATCAAATATTTGAATAAGCCACACTCAGAAACACTACGATGGAGCAGCTTACTGGTATACGTGGTTCTCTGCACTACTACAAACATAGTCACAAAGAGCTTGATGCTCTCAGTGGAAGGCTGGCGTTTCACTTTTTGCAGGCCGTGTATCTCGCAGCTACGTTCTCCCAGCTGATTACATTCCAAATGGCTTTCAGATAATCAGGCCTGACATTTTTATACTGAAGGTAATAAGCATGCTCCCACACATCAATTCCCAGCAGTGGAATAAGACCTATTGGAAAGAAGGGGAAAGAAACAAAGGCTATGAATTTCACTCTACAACATTATCTTCTCGCTTTCAACTTTAATTAGCCTATGCACACGAAACTACCCTTTACAACATTCTCATCCATTTTTCAGTTTCTTATGTAAACAGGAAATTTGCATAAGAATAAATATCCTAGAAAAAGATTTTAAACTTTACTCTTTGGAAGAAAATGTGATAAATAGTAAAAGTAATTAAAACAGACTTGGGAAAATCAACTAACCACAGTATTTTAACAGCTATTCTTAAAATATCAACAGATTTATCCAAGAGCCAATTCTCAGTGGTCCTCAATAGGGGTCTCAGGAAGGGTGTGTTCTCTTTGTGGGTGTGGCTGAGGACCTTCCAAAGGTGTTGAGCATTTGGGGGAGTCTATGGAAAACCTGCTCTGCTCCCCTGGGCTGATGTTAGTCACAGAGAATACAAAGCGTTTACGATTATACACATGTATAGCTGAGTCACTTTGCTGTAGAGCAGAAATTAACACAACACTGTAAAGCAACTCTACTGCAAATAAATAAATAAATAAAAGAGCGTTTATGAGACATAATAAAAATTAAGTTAACAAGGAAAACTGAGTAAGGCTTAAGAAAGAGATACATTATTTAGTTTCTGAAAAGTGTGTGAAGAAGTAGTTAAATCTATAAAACATTCATTTAAGAAACCTCTCCAACTGAAAGCGCTCCTCTAGGAAAACAAGCATCAACCAGCATGTCTAAATCAATTGTGAGGTGCGTCACTAATAACTTATAATTAAGGGAACAAAATTTATACATGATTTTCCCCCTAGATAAATCACCATAACTTTCATTTATCTTTATTCCAATGGGCTTTCTTCAAGCAGGAGAGAAGAAGGTGTTGCTAGGACTGACCTGCCAATCACAGCCTCCTCGGTCAGGTACCTGACTCTTAGAGCACTCAGGGCTCACACATCTTTGGTTGCTTTTCCAAATTCTGTGGCATCTCACTTTCCCTAAAGAGCTGTTTAGATTCTGGCTAATCTGAACATATCCAGGTTAGTGAGTCACGTAAGCAAGTCTCCGGACATGTGTAGAGGTAGAAAATATGGCTGAGACCTACTGCTGATTGATGCTAAGGTATCACCTCACATCAAAGTTCCAGCAAACTGCTGGATCCTTATGACTATTTCCTAAAGAGCTTCTACTTCCATCTGGCTCAACATAAAAAAGGATTTGGTGAACCCAGCCTGCAGCTTCTAAGCCCAATCTTTTCCTACGCCAAAAAATCCTCAGGAAGGTAGATGTCTGGAAACCTGAGCTCTGGTCCCAGTTTGACCACAGGTGCTCAGCAGAGGAGTTGAGAGTCCAAGCTCTGAAGTCAGACTCAGACTATGTGTCTTTTCCTCCTTCATGTTGTTTATCTAATTTTAGTTTTTTATTCTAGTGCATATAATTATTATGTAGGCTGATACGAATTCTCTGTCAAATGAAGCAGAGTTTATGTTTAAAACATGTTTTGTTAACATATCTGTAAAACTACACACGCTCATTTTATAAAATATCAAGGACTTGGAAAGATTTTTGCTCCCACGAGACTCTGGGTATCATCTACTAAGATCTGTTCAATTTAGTACGTGCTCAGGGTAGGTTTAAACACTGCTAGTCTTCCATATTTCACGGTAAATGCTTTATAGTGAACCATCTCTCCCGAATAAACGTGTAATAATTCTTAAGCCTAACCTGTTGTTCCTTGCAGGGGATCCTGGTTAGAACAAGCAGCAATCTGTAAGCGTCCCTGTTCCTTACTGAAACCGAGCCAACCCCAGCCTGAGCCTTGGACACCAACAGATACGGTGGTCAACTTCTCCTTAAAGTTCTTGAAGGAACCAAAGTCATGTTTGATGGCTTCCAGCAACTCCCCTATTAAAAAAAAAAAACCCCAAAACCACTCACAAATGAACAGATGGCAACAATTACAATAAAATATTTTATTATATAAAATATATCCCAATATTCTTGTCATACGGCCCCAGACACAACTAGAAACACATGGAAAACACTACATGACCAAGTGAGCCTACAAAACAGTGTTATTCCTGTCCTGACACCAGGGTCATAACATCTCACAATTTTAATTTACATGTTTGTTGCTGAAACATGTTAGAGGGATTTCTTCACTCACAGTGCTGTTTCCATAAGGAAAGAAATAATATTTTTCATTAGCTTTCTTTTTTCCCATCAACAGAAGATTTTACTTTGACTTCTACCCTACCTACTCTATGTTTCAATTTGGGAATAAAATGTTATGGGTGAGACTTGCTTCTTCTCCAAGGCAGCCTAGATCTTTCCTATCTCGATTATATCATTTTAAAAAGAGTGATGTTGGGGCTTCCCTGGTGGCACAGTGGTTGAGAGTCTGCCTGCTAATGCAGGGGACACGGGTTCGAGCCCTGGTCTGGGAGGATCCCACACGCCACGGAGCAACTGGGCCCGTGAGCCACAACTACTGAGCCTGCGCGTCTGGAGCCTGTGCTCCGCAACAAGAGAGGCCGCGATAGTGAGAGGCCCCCGCTTGCCACAACTAGGAAAAGCCCTCACACAGAAACGAAGACCCAACACAGCAAAAATAAATTAATTAATGAATAAACTCCTACCCTCAACATCTTAAAAAAAAAAAAAAAAAAGAGTGATGTTGCCTATTAATGAACTAAGGGTACACTTTAAGAGTTATCACCCTTTTTATTCTGTAGCAATACAGAATACAATTCGAGGCTGAGCACATCAACTAAGTCAACTAGGCCCAAAGTATCACCTCTCTTACTTTATTGGCTTAAAAGTAGTCATCTGTTATAAGCACAAATGATGGAATAAAGTGGTACCAGACAACACAAAGTGGCAGAGCACCAGAACCTGCTGGCTGAGCACAGGTGTATCTGGAATTCTGGTAACTCACAACACCTCGAAAGTATTAAGTCACGGTCTGAAGACCTAACTCAGAAAAAATGAACTGTCCAGCTTCCCATACTTATTCCCCCATTCATCTTTACTTCCAAATGAAACTGCTTATGTCAAGTGCACAAGATGCCTTCTAGAAGATGACTAAAAACAAAAAAATGCCACAGAAACTTAAGGTACGTGCCAGAAGAGCAGAAACAAAGGAGGAGAGCTATATTTACACCCCACACCTCCCCTGGGGTGGGGAGGATAATTAAAGTTCTGGGTCTCTGCGTGCTCCACAGGAGGTCAAGTGAACAAGCAGTGGACAAGATCACCGGCTCCGTACTCCCTTGTTACCTGCAGTTGTCCTGGAAAACCTAATTTTCTGGGACAACCGACTCTTTATCAGTTAGGAAGAGTAGTAAACAACAGCAAAAGGCACTACTCTATAATAACACTTAATTTTTAAAACAGCCCTATTATTATCCCCATAGCATACAGATGAAGAAGGTAAGGTACAGAATGGCTAACATCTTGTCCCAGGGCCTAGAGCTAGTAAGTGAAAACTCATCTTTCCTAAAAACGAAGTTTCTCAGTCTTTCCCTAATATACAGTACGTTTCAACCGAAAGGTGACACTGTATGTGATACTGTGCGTGTGTATAAAATCTGACGATATAATTCCCTGAATGTATTCTCCACTCTTGCACGTGTCCCTCTGAAAGTTACAATTTTGTCGTACTGCTTGCTGTGAAAGACATGCCATTATGACACCTCAGGGAGAATTAAAGGTAACTTAAGAAAATCAAGTCATTCCTATCGTGCACAAGACGTAGCTAAGGTTGCACCAATCTAAACCAACCTTCGGGTTCTCCACCACCGTTAGGGCTCAGATTTGTCCAGAAAATGCTATGATTGATATGGCCTCCGCCGTTGAACTTTATTGCAGGCTGCAGAGCTACCTGAGCTGTGACATCACCTGAAAGGTTAAAGTAAAAACACATTTTTTAAAATTCTTACTTTTTTGACCATTCTATACACTATTTTTTTTTCTTTGTAAAACATTAGATAATTGGACCATTGTAACATCCCTATTGGTCCCAAAATTTCACAATTTCAAGACTCTACCCAAAAAAAAACCTTCCCCAAAATATTTGTCCCAGTGGATTTTCAGTTCAATTAATAATGTACCAAACAACTAGTGAGAAGCCAGCAGGGGTGGCAAAGCTAGTAGAAAATTCACTCCTGGGCTTCAAAGAACTCGGGTTTCTTGGGTAGAAAAGATTTCAGTAAATGAAATAAAAAGAGAACAAAGACAGAAAATAGTAGAATGCTATAAAATAGATGGTTCCGTATACAGACCACATGGAAAATGCTCAACTCCCATTTCTAGATAGACAACCATCCACTGGGAAATACTTCAACGTTACATTAACAAAAAACTCAACTCGTTCAAAACTGAACCCCTGATCTTCAACCCCAAACTTACTCATCCAAAGGCCTTCCCCACCTGAGTGAGTGCCAGCTGTTTCCTCAGGACATCTTTGATGATGCGGTCATTCTTCACGCTAGTCCTCTCACACCCCACATCAGCCCACCAGCACACCCACCAGCAAAGCCAGCTCCGGAAAACACCCAGAACTTCACCCCTTCTTCCTGCCTGTGGTGCCACCAGCAGCACCTCCGCCCCGCAGTCATGCCCCTCTCACTGGTCCCCTGCTTCCACTCCTGCCGCTACAGTCTATTCTCAACACAGTGGCCAGAGGGCTTCTCTAGACCCCCACTGATCACGGCACACGTCTGGTCAAACCCCTCTGCAGGCTGCTCTTCTCAGAGTGAACCCGAAGTCCATACAATCGGTACAGAGGTGCCCATCATCCGACCCTCTGCACCTCCTTGCTGGCCCAGCTCCGGCCACCACGGCCTCCTGGCGCTTAGGCGACAGGCCTGGCATGCTCCCGGCTTACGGCTTCCACTGACCATTGAGGGCTTTGCTGGAACACTTCCCGGAGACAGTCTCATGGTTCACTCCCCCCATTTCTCCTTCAAGTCTCCACTGAAACATCAACCTCATCAGAAGGCTTCTCTAACCACAATATAAGATGGGCAATCCCCGCCCCGCGTCCAGACCACTTCCCCTACTTTGTTTTCCTCAGCAGGACTTCAGCCCCGGCACACTCCATATTGACTTGTTCACGTGTCTCCGCTAGGAGGAAGGCTCCAGTGAGGACAGGACTTTTGTGCACTGCCGTGTCCCTGAGGCCCAACAGACTGCCTCACGTGCAGCAGGCACTCGTGAATGCTGAACGGAGTTCCACGGAAAGAAAATTCTGACCTCTATACTTAAAAAGAATGTCATATTTGAAGCTGTTTTTACTACCTTGCTAAACATGGAGGCAAAACAAAATATTTTTCTTGATGCCTTCAAGAAGCTACAGACTAACGGAACTATTAGGAAAAATGGGAATTCCCTTATTCAGTTAAGTATTAAGTTCTTATGACTCACAAGATACCAAGAGGCAAAGTGAAGGGCACAGAGAACCACTGAGATCTCTGCCCTTGGGCGGCTTACATAATAGCAATCCAAGTTCCCTATTTCTGTTGTTGGGACACATGCCAAGAACACACGTAAGAAATGTCGCTTTCTAAAAAAAACAAAAAAAACGAAATGTCGCTTTCTGAAACAATAAAACCTCCAGTTTTTAGCAATTCAGAAAGGCGGAGAGGACCAATGATATCTGAATACACAGATAATCTTTGAGAGTTCTGTTTAAGATGTCAACTTTTGTTGTCGTTGTTATGTTTATAAAATAACTTTCTGACAGATCAGTGTTTCCCTTACTGATTTTTCTTGGAGAATCACCCTAAAAATCAATGTAGGCTTTATATTGTTTTTTAATAAGTCAACAATAACTAAATATTTCTAATGGGAAAGAAACATGTTTCTTGAGAACTAGTTTAATCACAATCTCTTAAAGTTTACTTAATCATTTTTTAAATTTTAATAGAAATTTGGGGGGGTTAATATCCGCTTTTAAGAACACTTTTCTGAAGCTCAACATTTTCACTGGCTTCATGGCCAATTTTCTCTGTTGAATACAATAAAAGTTAAGTACTTTTGTTTGAAAAGTATTTACATACTTAAATGCGGTAAGATTGATGATATTTTTCCCAAATTTTCAAACATGAAAATTTAACTCCTTAATGATTTTTAAAATTATTTTTTAAATAAAAGAAAGCTCTACAGACATTCATTAACTTATAGGCAATACAGTACAATATAATATAGTAAAGCTTTTTTTCCATTGGCTTTAATTAAACAAGCAAAGCTTTGACTGCACAAGAAAAGGACTGAAATTAAGCTGTTTTTAAAATATTGAAGAGAAGTGTTCATGGATGTCTGATGTTGTCATCCAGGAAACAGTTTCACAACTGGGATTTATCCCAGCCTCTCCCCATTACCACATTCTTCCCGCATTTGTTTTGTCCTAAATCACAGAACCTCTTCCCGTACTCTGAACCTTTTCCTTTACCGTACTTGCACTTGCGGTCCCTCTGATGATCACAAGTAAATCTTCCAGAATGTGGTAACTTCCTCTTCCTTTTGTTTACCTATTACCTCACACACAGACTGAAATACTACATTTTTCCACTAGATGTCCCCACTCAACAAGATGTCACAGTCTAAAATTCACTCAAATTTCACAGGACTGAAATTCGATAAAAACATATTTAAGAAAAAAATACACTTTTAACTGAGCAGTTTCAGCCATACATATAGCCTGGAAACACGTCTGTCAATTATTTCCCTCGTGCAAACCACTAACATTACTAACATTAACTAACAGATTCGAAGTGTAATGCTATTTTGTACAGAAAAGACTTAGTACTCCCATACATGCCCCCAGATGCAAAACACGAAAGAAGTCCACGCACGACTGGTTTTGTCACCTGAGCTCCTTTAAAAAACAAATACCAACTCCGTGTTATACTTTCACTTAATTCCAAAGATTAGCAAATAAATACAAGCCTGTCTCAGTTCCCCCGCGAAACGGTTCTTCTCCTTGTGAATTCTTCTCCCTAAGTCAACGCGCGAACACGTGCAGCGATCCTGCTGAAAGCAGGGGTGGGGCTTTGCGCAGATCCGCCTCGCCGCCACGGTTCCCTGTAACCGGTTTCTCTAAGTACGGCCGCCCGGCACCCACCCTTCTCCAGCGCCTCCCGATATTTCTCCTCGGCGATGTTCAGGTTGTTCACGTAGGCCGCGTGGTGCTTGCTGTGATGCAGCTGCATGATCTGCGCGTTGATGTGGGGCTCCAGGGCGCCATAATCGTACGGCAGGTCGGGGAGGCTATGCTTCCGCCGGGAGCCCAGAGCCCCCAGACCCGGCACCAGCTTCCTGCTTGTGCTGGAAAGACAGCAAACACAGCCCGATCGGCTGACGCGGGCAGCAACCGTTAAGCCGCGTGCCCGGCTCCGCAGACCCGGCTAGAAGGACCCGCGCCCCTGGGGGGCCTTCCAGTCGTTGGCCCCCTCGCTGTCCAGTCTTTGCCATTAAACTAACGCTGCGGTCCAGCGCCTCGGCGGCACCTGGACGCGCTCAACGGACACCTGCCCTCAGGCCCGGCCTCTCGCCACGCCCTGCGACGCCGGGTCCCCGAAGGTGCCCTGGACCTCGCGGGGCCGGCGCGAGAGGGTAGGCAGAGCGGGAGGCGGTGGGGGACAGCGGCGGCCACCGCGCCGACCCGCCGAGGCCACCGCCCGCGCCTCTTCGCCCGTGCGGCCGGGGCCGCGTCCCCGCTGCGCACGCCGCCCGGCGCCTCACCTGCACGCCGCCCGGCACAACATGGTGGACGCAGCCCGCAGGCCTCTTGGAGCTCGAAACGCACCGCCGCGCTGACAGCCGAGGACTGACTTGAGCTGCGCGCTGCGCAGCAAGTACACCGCCGCCCCCCGCGGCCCCGCCCCCTGCGCCCGCCTCGACCCCGCCCCCTGCGCTCGCCGCTTCCAACTCGGGGGCACAGGGGGCGAAGGGCCCCGAGCCCGCGCTCTGGGCCCAGGGAACGCGAGGAAGGGAGACTCGGCACTTTCCCCAGCGGCCAGACGAACCGCGGTGCCCCCCTGCGCGCTTCTGGGCGTATCGCCAAAGGAAAGGCCGCCGTCCCCACGCCGTGTGAGATGGTCCGGCCCCAGGCTCCGCCCCACGAAGGTACCTCCCAGCGCTGCCCGCAGGTGGAGACTCAGCTTGCGCCTGCGTGTGAGGGAATTGTTGGGAGCGGAGTCCTTGCAGCTTCCCTGCGGTTTCGGTGGTGCAGCCTCGGGGTCCGGTGACCCCACCCCCACCCCCGGAAGAAAGACTCGTGTTTCCCTGAGAGGCCTCGGAGCGCCCCAGCGGGCCTGTCAGGTCCCCCAGGAAGGCGGGCCCTGGCGCTGGTATGGTGTAGGGCCAGTGTCCCTCCAACCACTGCCCGGAGTGACCTTTCTTTCCCAGTGAACTGACCTTGGGATCTCCGCCAGGCCTGATAATAGTGTTACCGTGCACTCACGACGTGTCAGGGACTGCGCTGCAGGGTTTACATACATTTATCTTTATTTCACCCCAGGAGAAGTATCATTGATTCCAGGTGACGGTTAATGAGCTCAAGGAGCTTGATGAGCACGTTGCCCAGGTCACACCGTTAATAAGTGAAAGAGTCAGGATTAGAACCCAAAGTTCATACTTTCTTGATCACCAGGCCTTAGCAGTCAAGTCTTCAGTGCTTGTTGGGAGAATATAAAAGAAGTACAACAGAGGATTCTTTCCTGCAGTGTCCTATATCTATGAGCTGTAAGTATCAAATGCTTTCTCAACAATTAACAAAACAATCCTGAATTGTGTAACTCTTCCCTGTAAAGAAGTTAGGAAAGCTTTACACTGTTACTGGCCTGAGTTGGGCCTTTACTGAATAGAATAAAATGAAAGGAAGCAGATAATAGGTGCCGAATAGAGTTTCAGTTACTTTCCTGCACCCCCTTCACAACCCTCACCCCACCCCTGCCCCAAGGATGACTAAGCTTTGGGAGGACAAGGGGGACAGAAAGGGGAACCACGGAGCAGGGCTTCACAGAAAGGGCGGGGCTTGCTGACAGTCAGGTGAATGTAAGAGCATGTCACCAGATGCAGGAGGAAATTCAAGTTGGGACCAGCTGATGGATGTCCTTAAAACTCAAACATGTGATTAGTAACAGGAAACTGAAAAGCACTTTAGCTGAAGTGAAGCACATTGAAAGCAGTTTTTCAGGCGAGCAAGTCTGGCATTGATTTGAGGGGCAGGCTAGTTAGAAAACTGTTGCATGAATCCTAGCATGAGGTTCTAAGAGCCGGTTTTAGGGTAATAGCTGTTGGAACTGGAAGGAAAGCATTTTGAAGGATGAAACAACAGAATTCAGTGACGGGTCAGTCACTAATAAAAGGGCTTGTTCCAGTGAGAACAAAATATCACTATTAGGACACTGTGCCCAGTCAGGCCGCATCGATGTACTTCTTGTTTGTACTAATGATGACACTTTGAGATTTAAACTGACCACACTCCCCCCACATGCCCTTCTGAGCATGCAACAGATTGGGGTGTGGGGAGGTGACATTAGCAGTCAAGTAAAAGTGTCTCTAACATCATATCTCTCATCAGCTACATCCTTCCAGAAGACGACCCCAACTGCAAGAGTAACCAGGATTGAGACCAAGGGCTTGGGGGTTATAGGAGATATTGAGAAATTTCTTACACTCAGTAAACAGGCCTCTTTTTCTTTTATAGTTGACCACTATAAGAAGTACTCATTCAGTTGGCCCAAGGTATTAAATTACTGTTGACTGGAGTCTGTCCCAAATTCCTCTGGCCAGCTCAGGATGTCATCTGCCACATCTGGGCACCATAATTATGGATTTCCCTTCAATAAACTTCCCAAGACTACTTCACAGCCACCTTCAGACCCACCACAGTCTGGATCAACACATTGGCTGGAGGAGGAAAAATGTGGGTTGAGAGGAATTCATTCTGAGCCAGTTATTAATTGCATTCGTATTCTAATAACAGGTCCAGCTGCAGTGTCTCAAACACAGAAGAGCGTATTCCCTCGTAAAAGAGATCTGGAGTAGGTAGTCCAGGGCTGGGATGAAAGTGCCATGAAGTCATCAAGGAACCAGGTTTCTCTGTCCTCAGAGTTGCCTCATGATCCATTAAAGCTTCTGGAGCACCAGCCATTTCACCTTCTTTCCATGAAGAGGGAAGGACAAAAGGTGGGCCTCCCTTTTGTCCCTGTCTCCCTTTTAAGGATCCTCTGTAGTAGATTCACCCAACAAATTCCAATCAGAATTTAGGTAGAAGGCTGCGCCTAACTACAGAGGAGGCTGGAAAACATAGTCATTTACCTGTGGACATTTCCAGTCCGAAAAAATGTGGAGGACTTCCCTGGTGGCACAGTGGTTAAGAATCCGCCTCACAATGCAGGGGACACGGGTTCAAGCCCTGGTCTGGGAAGATCCCACACTCTGTGGAGCAACTAAGCCCGTGCACCACAACTACTGAGCCTGCACTCTAGAGCCCGCGAGCCACAACTACTGAAGACCGAGAGCCTAGAGCCTGTGCTCCGCCACAAAGAGAAGCCACCGCAATGAGAAGCCCGCGCACTGCAAGGAAGAGTAGCCCCCACTTGCTGCAACTAGAGAAAGCCTGCACGCAGCAAAAAAGACCCAAAGCAGCCAAAAAATAATTAATTTTAAAAAAAAAAAGAAGAAAAATGTGGAATTCCTTAACTAAAGGGAAAATGAATAGTGGATTGGAAAATAGTCTCTGCCACATATCCTTCTACAAGACATATTTTCACATGCTTGGTTATGAGCTCTGACCATTCATGGAATGACTTTAGCTACACTCTCTCTTTTTTCTCTCTCTCTTTTCCTTTTCGTCCCTTGTCTCACAAATCTTATGCAGGCAGGAATCTAAGTGAGAACTGCCGGACCAACTTCCCTTTGCGTAACTGGGATTGCTAATAGGGCCGAGAGTAGTACTTAAATTGCCAAAATGAACTCAGTGATCTAGGCTAAAAGAGAAAATGATGGTAGAGATATAGTATCATTAGCAAAGGTTTCAAAGTGAGCTTTTCCCCCACATCATCGGGCTAATTATAATTAGATTGCATCCTCAAAGAACACATTAACTACTAGAACGGATAGGGGAAGCTTGTCTCAGAATAGAAGTGTTTTATTGAACAAGATGGGTGGTCAGTTGATCGTATCCACAAAGGGCGAAGGGAACTGACGTAATTGAGTAGATCCTCAGTGTGTGCTGGGTACAGGTTCTAATGCTCCACATCATCTCGTAATTCACACAGCATCTCTGTAGAGTGGCTTATTATTCCTCTTTTGCACAAAGATAGTGACTTGACCAAGGTCACACACAGAGCCAGTAGGTAGTAGAGCTGGGCTTCGAATGGACTGCTCTATTAACACTGACATCACTGTGCCTTTAAACAGCTGCCACACCCTCTGCCACATCCCTTGCACCCAATAAAGTTGAACTCAACCCTGTCTTGTTTGCAGCTCAGTGTTTGAAACTTCCCCCTCCTATGCTGTTTCCCAGCTTATTCCTGTCTTCTCAACTCCTGATTCATCTCCGGCCTCAACTCTTGCAAACGATTCAGGTCCTAGCTCTTGGCCCTGAGGCTTGAACTGGTCCTCTGTTCTCCCTTGGGTCATTTGCCCCTTCAATCACATTTGCTTCTTAGCCTCAGGGAAGACCCTGCTTCCTGGAGCTTCCCTTGGCACCATCCCACCTGACTGACTTTCCCACCCTTGTCTATGGAGAGAATTAGACTGGCTGGCCATGAACCTGAGAAACCAGAACAGAATGGAGGAAGGGTGAAAAGAAAGGTGGTCTCCTATTTAGAGTCCAGGAAATGCCTCCATAAGATCCCTCCATAAAAACGAGGCAATGTCCGCCCCTTTAGGGGAATGAACAACCCACCATCATCATCACTCCAGGCGTGTCAGTCAGGGTTCTCCAGAGAAACAGAACGGCTAGGTTGGGTGTATATATCAAGAGAAAGATGTATCATAAGGAATTGGCTCATGCAATTACGGAGGCTGGCACAACCAAAATCTGTAGTGAGGCCCAGCAGGCTGGAGACTCAGGAGAGCCAGTGGTGCAGCCAGTGTGAAGGCAATCTGATGGAGAATTCCCTCTCGCTTGAGGGAAGTCAGTTTTTGTTCTATTTAGGCCTTCAACTGATTGGATGAGGCCCACCCACATTTGAGAGGACAATCTACTTTACCCAGAAATTCACTGACTTAAATGCTAATCTCATCCAAAACATCCTCCAAGTTGACACCTTAAACTAACCATCACACCAGGTAAAACACAACATGGGCAAGGCATTCTGTGTAAGGGGTGGGGAGATTTGTTAGTCATTATACCACAGAATTCCAATTAATAGCCCAGGATTTATCATGGAGTGAGGTTGAATTCATGGGCACAGTTCTAAGAATAACTCTCAAGCGCTACCCAAGATGAACTGACACTGACCACTGAGGGCAATGACCAAGCACAAGGAGCTCAGGCCAGCTACGTCTTCTGGCCAGCATACGCCAGGGGCTGCATCCCCACCCTGAGGGATGCAGAGGAGATATGCAGGATGCACGGCCTCACATACCACGGAGGTTCATGCCAGAACTTGGTCCATCTCAGGCATGTCCCAGCACACTCCCCATCCTGGCCTGCATCACCTAACTCTGGTGCTGGCTTACATCTGCACTGGCCCTTTGGTGGGTAATTGGATAAAAGCATGTACAATAAGCCTACAGGTATTTTTAACCTTAAGATATTAATTTAGTTTAAGGAACTAGTCAGCTTTTCGTTGGTATAAGATGCTCTGGCTGACTATGAAAGAAGGCTG